TATATATGGCTTATGTAAAACAAGTAAATAAATATATAAACATACATATATACATGAATTAATTAAGATATCTGATAAGCAAAGCCATTTCTTTAAATTCATTACAAAATAGATACATAAAGAGTATTTTTAGTTTTGAATATTTATCATAAATCTTCATTAATTTAATATGGCTAATTATTTCTATTAATCAAGCTCAATTAATTTAGTTTCATCGTTAGCTTTTTTGATGCGTTTGAATTAGAAAAAGGGCTTGAAGGGTTGATTTAAATTTAGAGGTCTTTCATATCAATGATGTTATATTAATTATTTTGATATTATTCGTTATTATGGATTAAATTTATAAAATCCTGTGAAACAGATACTTTGCTGCTTTAAAACTGGCTAGAAAGCTTCGAATTGTTTTCTTACTTTACAAATTAGTTGTTCCTTTTTATATATTGGAAATATAAAGAATAAATTAAATAATAAATAAACAATATTTTTTACATTTAAATGTTTTCTTTATCATCTACCGGATCAGCAAACGTTTGCATGTTTTTCACTTAGGAATTGGAAATATCAAGGACATTATTGTTCTATCCATTTTCATTAATCGTTATGAAATTTTCAAGTAGAGTTTCATATTGCTGATTTATTTAATTAAGCTGCTATTAATTACCTTTATCTTAAATTGTTTCTAAACTTTGATAATTATAAATTTATTTGAGCAAAGCTTCACACTTCATCTCGTAGGTTTTTTTGTTCATATCTATTTCAAGGAGTAGTAGTTCATTTTTCTTTTGCAATGATTTGCTTTTTTTCGTGAGGTGATCAACTCTAATTTATAAGTTTACATTTTTATTTTTTTCTTCTGAGAGCTATTTTTTAAGCGATTTGTTTTCTTATTAGGATTGTTCTAACTGCTTTTAGATCAAATCATATTTTAATTGAATGTCTTAGATTTTTCCCACAAATGAGTTGTTTTATTATTGTAGATGATCAATTTTGTTTTAAGAATATTGAATTTGGCTGTTGATTTGATTTTGTTGTTAATAAAAGCTTTGAGAAGTTTTGTCAAAGACATCCTTTAAGCATGTCATTTATTCATTTTATAGTTAACAATTATTTTATAAATTAGAATTTTTTCTTTCAATACT